GTGAACACTGACCTTCATGCTCTTTTTATCGATACTAAGGGGCGTGGCTCAACTCCAGGGCACGCAGATTTCAGCCAGCCTGGCTGGGTGGCTGTTGAGCATTGAGTCCAAAACAGCTCTGAGGCCCACGTCCTAGTTTAAGAAAGAACTCATGGATTAATTAGTGATGTCTATACTATGAATGCAGAAATAGAACAGCAGCCTTGGTACTTGCTTTGCACGATAAGAGGAGGCTTCCACAGGCAGGGGAAACCCTTGGAGGTATCGCGTGGACTTGAGACGAGAGGGAAGTGGGTGGATATTTATGATTTCTGCTCCCAGAGAACATAAAAACTCAGTTACTGAGTCTCCGAAAAGCAAACTGTGCTAAGTCTACGTCCCAGACTGCCACAGAGGCTTGGCAAGGTGTGGATGTGGTTCTGGGAAAGCTTCCTGGAAACACCACCGAGAGGACACATTTGGCAAGTAAAAAGGCAGGCGACGATAGAGAAACCAGACTTCCGATGGCTGTGGCATTTCTTGTCTTCAAGTACTGCTCCACTTGGCCATGCAGTCCCATTCCAGATCACTGCCAGGAGGCTGCTCCAGTGCTCCCGATGAGAGGCAGCCCACCCGCCGTGCAGCTGCTGCAGGCTGTGGCGCTTTCCAGAACCTTCACTATTTGCCTCTCAAGTATGGCGGTTTGGAACATTATCTACACGGTGGTTAAACATTAGACAAAGAAGGGAGGTACCTCTTGCCTTAGAGATGAGCCTTGCCTGGGCCTCTGGCCACACAGTGTTGCTACAGGGCCTGTTTAAGGCCAAGTCCCAAATCTTGGTCCCTTGTGGGTGCCTGACGCAGGCTGGCACCATTCAGGATGTTCAGGTTTGCCTCCAAAATACACCATCATACTCAGCCGCAGTTTGGGTATGACCTTCTGGAAGTTGAGATGCCATTCCTGACCTAGGAATGGCAGATTGTAGTTAGGAAACTGCCCACATTTAAGGCCAGCTTTTCTTAGCATCGTGGAAAGGCATGTCAGGCCCCCTCAGGGTCTGTGTACGTAATCAGGGCTACCCTAGAGATGGAAGGCAGCAGATGCATAGGACTGTCCTCTCTCCACCATGGCACCGGTCCTGAGGCTGGAGCACACCTCTCAGGCCCTCTTCAAGGACTGAGCCAGTAAAGCATTTACTCAGTGAGTTTACCTTCTTCATGGGTACACAGAGCTCCATGGACAATGCATTGTCTCAGGATCTCTTTAAGGACAACAGGAAGGTGCTTTTTCCAGAACCAGCAGTTAGGACAGCTGGGTGCCGTCGCCTACAGAATTCCTCCAGCCCATGGAGGCTGCCTCAGGGCCCCTGGCAAGGTCCCATTCTCTAGTCTAACCAAAACCCTTCCTTGGGTTCTGTGAGCCCTTTGGACATACTGTGTGTTTTCCTCTGGGTTTCTCTGGTTTCACATTATTTATAAGCAGCTTCAACTCTTAAGCAATACCAGGCCCAGGGACAGACATCAGGCTGGCCTCGAGCTGTGGCTCTGTGCGTCCCCAGCACAGGAGCACAGCCCGCGTTGTGTACAGCAGGCAGCCTGGAACTAGCCAGTAATGGATACCAGGGGAGTTGGCTGCACTTTCCGCCCCACAAAGCTAATCCTGGGCAAGCTCTCGGCAGTAAGCCAAGATGAAGTTGGATGACCCCGAAATGGGTAGGGTGAGGCAATCCGTGGGTTGAATGGAGTTGCACAGAGGGATACAGGGCGCCCTGCCTGTTGACACAGATGTGTCTCCACAGTGTGGTACTCCATGAACTGATCTCACCAAGGACCCCCAGTGCCATCTGGAAACAGAAATAATGTCCCCAAGTCATTGTTGGTCTTAGTGCATAGAAAAGCTTATAGCAGTGTCCACTAATTGGGAGCTGTTGCTTTGGTTCCTGAACGTTAGTTTTTAGGAAACACTCATTACACACTGTGCCATGGGCTGGCTTTCCCCCAACTCCGCTATGTGGAGGACAACGCCCCTTACGTACACTTCCACTTCCCAGAGGCCCCAGTGTGCTCACCTTCCCTCTTAATGTTCTACTTAATGCCTTACTGTGTAGTGTGTCCATCACAGTCATGTGGTAAAAATGATGTCATTTGTCAGAAGTGGTGAAAGAGGAGTGAGGAAAAATGGGAGCTTTTTTGTCTATAGCTCCATCAGGACGTACTGAGCTGTGCTAAGATCCCAGCCCCTGGCAAAATCCTGGGGACAGCAGGTAGTAAAGACTAAATTTAACTCTGGACTTGGCTGTGTGCAGTGCAGGTTCCTCCGAAACTGTGTGCTACACTGCTCCTCTCCTTGTGCTGTGGCAGGCGCCCGCAGTCCCTTGGAGTGTGGTCCTCAGCCCCGAGTGCCAGGACACAGAAGAATCTCGCCCACTTCTATCCATCCCAGCACGTCCACACAGCCTCTTTGTCCAGGCCAGCGATCTCTGCAGCAGGAAACCTCTGGCCTTGGCCAGGAACCCTGAGGGTCTCCTGGACCAGCGTCAGAGGAGACAACGAAGGGTGGGCTTCACCAAAGAGCAAAGCGACTGAAGTCAGGGAGGGAAGTGATCACTAGGCAACCTGGAGTTTGTTACCCTGGTAACAGATTCATGCACTGATGCTGTAGATGGACATCTTGTGACAGTGGCTCACAGCCCTTCCATATGCATCAGATGGCTTCAGAGGCCTGCCTCATGCTGTTCTCTGTGTGGCTACTTCTTAACCAACCACCCATTTCTTATAGTAGGCATTGCTTGATGAAATAAGTCAAACTGCGGGTTCCCGACTCCGTGGGCCCACTTGGCTTGGGACTGACAGTCCCTCGACCCAGACCTCTTTTTAATGGTTACCATCTTCAAGACTTTCTTAGAAAAGGAGCCTGTGCCTCAGGTTCCTTACCTGTTAAGGGAGTAGTGCTGCCCCCACTATGTCTGTGTGTCATTACCGCTTCCTTGCTTCGCTACCTGAGAGATCTGTGGTGAGAGGGAGCTCTCCAGGGGTCTGGTCTCAAGATAGCAGACCACTGCCCACGAGGGAACCTTCCCCCTGTCATTGTGCCCCTGCCTTCCCTCTGCCTACCAAGGACAGACAGGGAACATGGAGGGTGGTGTGTGGCCTCATGGGACCAACCTGTTCATTAAGTGAACAGAATTGTGAGCCAAGGTCTTGCCTGCCCCGCAGCAAACCACAGCCTTGCCGTCTGTGCCTTGCTGACCCGAGTGGTTCGGGCCTCTGCCCTGCTCTTCTCCCAGGACAGGAGGATACTGACAGCTGGTTCACCCAGGCGCCCTGCTCGGGTGGCCAGGGTCTTAGCGGGGCAGCAGGTGCAGGCGCACCACCTTGGTGTGAGCGGCAGGGCCTGGCTGCAGCTCCTAGACTACAGCAGACTGATTCCCATCGAGCCCATGCCTGGGGTGAAAGTTCACCACAGCATGATTTTGGAGGCCAAGACAGAAGCTTTTTCTTTGCTCTGGGTTGAAGAAGACGACTGTAGCTGTGGCACAGACAGCAGCCTGAGCATTCTGCGCAGTGCTGGGGGTGGGTGAACACGACTGCAGGTGAGGGCATTTCTCTTCAGCCCCTTACTGCAGTGTGGCTAGCTGCGTAAGGAGCCCTGATGGTATACAGGTCCTGGCCCGCACCACAGGGTCAGTTCTGGGGCTGCTGAGGGCTGCTGCTGCTTGTGAGTGGAGCCTGTGCCACTGCCTGGCGGTCACACAAAAACCATGTGGTCCTGTAAACGGCTCGTGTAGCCACTGTGGGAGAAGACAGGGAGACCGTGGTAGGAAGGGGTCCATGGTGGGCTGGGCCTGGCCTACAGCAGCAGCCTAGAATGCCCGGCCTCATCTCGCCTCAGGAGGGAATGGGGAAATCTCTTGCAGCAGCTCTGGCCAGATACATCTTAACAGACATCTGCACATTTAAAAGTTTAAAATGCCTAAAAAGCCATCTGGGGCAGAATTTGGAATCAGCTGGTGGTTCTTGCGTGTGCAGTGTGTGAGTCAGGATGCCTGCATGTCAAAGCACAGGGCCAAGAGTGTCCAAGACGTCCTGTGTGGTGTGACGCAGAGGGCAGTGGTTTGTAAGGACAGTGGACTGCTCCACCGCTGCAGGGGCTGTCGGCACCTGTGGGATTTGCTGCACAGAGCAGCTGAGGGTGCCTGGGCTGAGCTATAGCCTGAGGACCTTGATCAGATAGCCATCCCGCCATTCCTCTAGGGCCAGAGCCACACTGATAGAGACAGGCCTTACCATGAGCCTATTAAAGCTCTAGAAGCCACTGCACAGAATCTGTACCCGGGCACCTAGGGAGAACCACCTCAGGCCAGCCTGAGGTCCTGGGAGCAGTTTGCCTCACATCCCAAGACCCATCTTCCCCTAGCGCAGATGCCAAGCCAGCACTGCCTGTTTCTGCTAGTGTTTCTCTTTCCTCAGAGGACACCTTCCCATGTCCCTTATTGCTTCATTGTGTGTCCTGTCATGTTTATGTTGCAGGGTAGCTGGTGGTGGTGCCAGTGGGAGGCATGAGCAAAGCTCTGTGTTCCTTGTGAGTGACCTGTGGGCCACATACTGTCCCACCCCTGCTCCTCAGTCCCATGAGGAGTGGAGTCAGCTCCACAGAGCTTCTCACAGCTCCCCAACGCCAGGTCCCCTCCTGCCACACAGACCCAGCCGACGGGATGGTGCCTTGTGTTCCCTCAGTGTCGGGGGTGAGGAGAGCTCGCCAAAAAGTGCTACACTTATCCTGCCGTCCAGAACCTCCCTTACCACTCATCTCAACAGTGGGAAGCTGCATGGCACCCCATCTCTGCTTGCACAGTTGGGGCCTGCAAAGCTTCACTCTGGGTGGGTAGGGAAACACTAGGAGCTTCTCAGCCAAGTGGGCCAGCTGAGCTTGACGCCTGACAGCTGACCTCACCGTGGCTCTTGGGGTAGTCACAGTGTCCCACTCTCCTGCCCACCGCACCTTCCCTCTTTCCCCACAGGTATCCGCCCCCAGATCATGAACGGCCCCCTGCACCCTCGCCCCCTGGTGGCGCTGCTAGATGGCAGAGACTGCACTGTGGAGATGCCCATCCTGAAGGATCTGGCCACGGTGGCCTTCTGTGATGCGCAGTCCACGCAGGAGATCCACGAAAAGGTGCGTGCGCCAGGCCAGTGGCAGTGTAAGCACATACTTGGACCACTGGCATTCCCACAAGTGCCCAACTCAAGCCTACAGCAAGCCCCCCAGCAGCCATGGCTCCAAGTGATTTTGCTAACAAAATCCTCTGCTTTGTGCTCAGGCGCTTACCCACAGCCCGCTGATAGCAGGGGGCTGCACGGGTGAGGCCTCTCACCTGTGCTCTGCCTTCCTGGTGCAGGTATTAAACGAGGCGGTGGGTGCCATGATGTACCACACCATCACCCTCACCAGGGAGGACCTGGAAAAGTTCAAGGCGCTGAGAGTGATTGTGCGAATTGGCAGTGGCTATGACAACGTGGACATCAAGGCTGCTGGAGAGCTGGGTGAGTGTGTGGCCGTTGCTGGAGAGGCTTGGCAAAGGGACAGAACAGCTGCATAGCTGTGGGAAGGTGGCCCATTTCCGAAGGGGTCTCTAAGGACCTTATTGCCTCATTTTCTTACAATCCAGGGAACACAGACTGTGCCCAGAGCTCACTGCTGGCACTGGAAGGACCTGGAGATAAAGGCGTGGGCTCCCTTGCATGTAGTGAAGGGCGTGGGAGTCCACACATCACCCTAAACTGCGTTTGGGTGGGGAAGACTCATGTTTGGCATTCCCTTAGCCGTGGGTTGGGGGGGGGTGGGTTCTTCCCAAGGACTGCTGTCCATGAAAGAACCTGGAACTTGTCCCCCGGAAGAGCGGCACTGGCAGTTATGACCTAGGTCAGCACCAGAACAGCACACCACTGCCCAGCACCCTGTCCTGCCTGAACCGGCAGGACTTTTGAGGGAAAACCAGAGGCAGCAGATGCAAAGCCAAGCCAAGGGTCCTCCTGCTCCTTGCACCTGCAAGGCACAGTGGCCTCGCGGCCCACACTCCACATGGCATGGTGTGCACTGTTGGCAGGTGATACAGACCCTCAGCAGTGTCCCTTTAGAAAGATCACAGTACCTGCTCCCCTTGTGTAAGAGACCGCCTCCCTCATCAGCCCACCTCTCCTATAGCCCTGTTTCCCGCCTCACGCAACAGGCCTGGTTCTGCAGGGATGGCTGGCCAGGCTCACACAGCCCGATGTGCCCAAGCTGGAATACTGCAGATATGTACTGGCTCTGCCCATTACCCAGGAATACCACCTGCCACATTTGCAGTGGAAGTATCCCTAGTGGCCTCTAGCTTTTTTCTGCAGTCCACACCTGTGTGTGTGTGTAGGTGTGGGGTCTCACTTCTAGTTTGTGAACCCCCACTGGCATTCAGAGCCACAGCCACATACCTGAAGCACAAAATGAGCCATGGTGGTAGGAACTGGGCCACAAGAGACACGTACCCCATGCTGGAGCCCGGCTGGTGTCCATGGTGCTGCTCCTAACCCCCTCTTCCCCCATGGCAAGGGGCTCAGGAAAAGGACATGGGGACACTGGGAGTGGCCACTTCATACATCTCTCATGTACGGGAAGCTGTGTGCCTTTTGTCTCCACCTGGTGCCCTTGGCCTGAGTGGTGACCTTTGCTTCCAGCCACGGCATCCCTGTGAACCCCTTTGTTGCAGCCAAGAAACTGTGGTGGACAGTTCCTCCTCCTCGTCACCACTGACACCAGCACCCTTCCACCCTTGGTCCCTTTAGTATGCCAGCTCTGAGGCCGAGGCTGTGCCCAGGTAGGCTTGGAATAGAGGGGCTCTGTGACCAGATTCTGTTTTGGCAGCTAAGCAGGCAGCCTGTGTCTCCTCTGTCCCCACTCTCATAGTATCTTTCTCTTATGTGAAGCTGCAGGCTCCTGCCCAGCACTGGTCTCACCCCCAGGCCAGGAGCCACTGAGCACAAGCAATGACATAGCATGGCTGGGTCCCAGCAGAATCTACTCTTGGTTGTTCATGGAGCTTTAGCCAGCAGAGAAGTGACAACTGTCCTGGCTGATAAAATGTTTTTTAAACCCCTGGCATCTGCCTCAGTTTGCCCAGAGTCTAATGACAACATGGGTTGTGACCAAGCCTGGACTCCTGGGATGAGTCGCATCAGATGAGCTGATCCCTTGCTCTGTGAGAATGGATGGGTGTACATGCACACACGCTCGCTCACGCTCTCTCCTCTCTCCTCTCTTCTCTCTCTCTCTGAGGGGATGTGGTCAGAGTCTATCCCAGCCAAAAAATAATCCTGGCCCAAAATAATCTCCACCAGGTGAGTGGATTGAGTGGCTCACAGTGGCCCACTTTGAGGGGCCGGGCCTTCCAGCACCTGCAAAGTGCTGCCAGGGTTAGGCTCCAGTGTCTGCTGGCTTCTTGTTCCTCTCAGTCCGTCTGTGGACTTAGTCCAGGCCTGGGAGGAAGCTCCCCAGGCCTAAGCTCAAGTACTTAGGAGTTGAGCTGGATGTCAGCCAAGTAGTGGATCCAGAAGCCTCCTTGAGATGGAAGTGTGCGCCTGGTGCCCCTGGGCTGCTGCCCACTTGGCTGTCTTCTAGGCATGGAGCTGGTCTCTGGCCACAGAACCATGTAGTAGCTGAAGAGACTTAACCCTGCCTTGCCCACCCCATGTCCACACCCCCCCCGCCCCCCGGGCCTGACGGCTTCTCATCTCAGGACTATGCCCCTGGCATTTTCAGGGATCGCGGTATGCAACATCCCATCTGCAGCTGTGGAAGAGACAGCCGATTCCACCATCTGCCACATCCTCAATCTGTACCGGCGGAACACGTGGCTGTACCAGGCACTACGGGAAGGCACACGGGTACAGAGTGTGGAGCAGATCCGAGAGGTGGCTTCTGGAGCAGCCCGAATCCGTGGAGAGACACTGGGCCTCATCGGCTTTGGTATGTGGCCTTGGCCCAGCCCAGCCCAGTCCTTCGCTGAAGGAGCTGGGATAGGCTGTTTCTCAGAACTCGGGATTGCTGAGGGGCAGAGGTATTGGTCCTGGGCAGAGCAGGGCCAGAGTCCCTGACCCAGCTGCATACAGATGGGAGGTCAGAACAAACCTGGAACTTACCCAGAAGTGGGTCTGAACTGGTTTTAGAAAGACTGTTGAGGGTATATATGGACGGCACAGCAGAGCCACATTCTGTGCAGTTCAGCTGAACAACTTCTGTCAATGGTGAGGCAGAGATCTAACCAGGGTAACAGGCTGATGTGACAACAGGGTGCAGTGAGAGATTCATGCCAGGGGGTGGCACAGTCAGGACATCAGCTTGGAAACCCCCCCTGAGAGTGCTGCAGGAAATGATCTTCCTGTACCTGGCTGTTGTCATGGAGACGGGGGCCAGAGGCCGTGGGAGAGACTCAGCCGGAGCTGTTCAAGGGAAACCAAGGAACAGATGAGGCCTGGGTGTGTGTGACAGGAAGCCCACGAATGTCATGACCCCCACCCCCATGCTCCCCAGCTCACTGCTGTGTGGCACCGAACCTCACCCTTGCTGCTTACCAGCTCTGTATCCTGGAGAACTCTAGGCTTCAGCTTGCTGATGTGTGAGTAAGGCGTGGAGGCTACACAGTACAGTCACTACCTCCTTAAATCTGAGATGGAAGGCGTGTGGGACAGGCTGTTAAGTTCTGGGAACAATTTGCTCAGCCTTCACCTCAGAGCTCATCTTCCTAGATTAGTGTCTAAGGGTCAGAACTTTGGGGAGGGCCACTGTGTCCCGTTCCCCCATGTGGGACGTAGGAAGCCACACGAATAAGGCAGACTGCAGGGTTGCACACTGTTCCCCAGTGTGCACAGCTGTCCCCTGGGCCTCAGGTACCAAGCTCCTTAGAGCACCCCACTTTGAAAAGCTGCTCTTTTTAGCTCTGCACCTTGTTTTGTTTTGTTCTGTTTTTGTAGAAGGAATCAATCTCAGAACCGTTGGTGCTTGCCAGGTGGGCATTGCATCACTAAGCTATATCCCTATTCCTTGATTTTTTTTTTTCTTTTTTAAGGTACTAGTCTGAAATATATTTGTTTTTACTTGGGGATAGCAAATTGGAGAAGCTCCTCCCAGTTTGTTCCTTTTTTCCCCCCACTGCTGGAAATGGAACTCAGGGCCATCGCATATAGGGCAGAGCACTTTACCACTAAGTTGTAACCCCCAAGCCCAGAAGGCTGTTCTTGCAAAACCATTTTTATAGGAATTTGTCCTGTTTTTTGATGAAGTGCATGTGCTTTCAGCACCCTCTGCTGGTGCCTAGCTGGGTTTCCAATGTGTCTCCTGGAGATGGTTCCGAGAACTTGACCCATGTTTAAGGCCTTTCGGTGGCAACTGACTTCATCGCAGCGCTTATGTCTTTGGTTGTGCCTTTGTCTTCCACCTTTTAGAGACTCTCTCAGTGTGCTGAGGGAGCCCTCTTCAGCCCTGCTTTCTCCAGCCTTCAGGTTTACCACTGCAGTCTCCTGAGGTCTCATATGGATATTCATCCTTTCTCCATAGCCCTGGGAACATAGCAGTGGGACAGGATAGGCTGTCCCATAAACACCACAGCCACCCGGTTAGGGATTAAAAGGCTGCATTTGCCTCAGGCTCTGCTAAGAGGCAGCAGCTGAACCTGGCAGGTTGGCATGAAGTGGCCAAGCCCAGCTCAGGCTGCAGGTCAGAGGACAGTGCTAGTGACAGGCTGTTTTCTCTATCAGAGGGCTTCCTACAGCATCAGAAGGGCAACCAGTGGTACTAATGCTTTAAAAGATTTTTAAAATAAAGGGCTTAACCACTTGGGTTCTCTAAGAACCTAATAAGACCATTTCATATTAGGTTTTCAAAGTCAAAAAATCTTGTGGTGAGGTAGAAGACAGTGGGAAAAGGTGAGCATCTGAAAGAAAACCACCGAGCATGGGTGGCCAGGCCTCTTCACAGCTGTGTTCAACCTGACTTCCACTGCGAGCCGCTTTTCCATCCACTCCCTGGATGTGCAAAGGGGGAGTCGGAGTCTTGGGTCCAAGCTGTCAGAATTCCAGAGTGGGCGTGGACCCTTGCTCAGGTGAAAGCAGCATTTAGCCTGTTGAATGTGGGCTCCCGGCTGCCCCTAGAACCCCTAGTTACACGTTTCATGAACTCCTGCACCTCAGTTCACAACCCTATTTCCATGATTCAGGTCACAAACCAAGGTGGCCAAGAACCAAATTTCCCCATTGGGTCAGCATTGCACCTAAGCACTGAATTCAATTCTTGTCCTAATCTGTGTGCCTCCAAAAATTGCAGAATGATGCCACTAATGTGTCTAAGACACATCTAGCCCAGCAGCTGCCACACATCCATTTCCTCACACGTTTTTGAAGGTCCACTACATCCTTCTGGTGGCAGAGATGGGTGACATGATGGATGATGGCCCACTGATTGCACTAGAGCTGTGCTCTTTTTCAGAGCAGCTTCATTAAATCTTTGCCTCCAAATCATGGCGCTGTTTTGATATTGTCCAATTAGATCACGTTCTCAAGGCACAGGGAGGGCGTTTACCAGCAAGTTGCCCCTCAGAGACCAACTTCCTGCTTAAACACGTCTCCCCTTCCCTTCTCCCTGCCTGCACACTTGAACAAGGATTCAGTTTATGATTCCCCCGAGGGAGCCAAAAAAGCATCACTCAACCACTTTATTTTCAAGATGAAAACTGCTCCAGAAAGAGACAGGTGCTGTCAGGTGGATGGGTGTGAATGATGGCCTTTGGGGAGTCGAGGACACCTTCTTGTCCCATTCAGGGATGCCCTTTATAACTTGTGGAATCCCAGTCTGAATGCTGGAGCTGGTCATGAAGCGACAGGTGCGTGCCCTGCCACTCAGCCAGGATGTGATCATGCTTGCAGCGCCGCGGTCACTTTGGAGCACTGCTCCCAGCAGGAGGCAAACTCGATGGTAATGGTGTCTGGAACATTCCCTGTCAGATACTGACAGTAATAAAGCAAGACGGCTCATTTCGAGAAGCCTGCTATGGGAACAGAAAGCTGAGGGACATAAACAGAACTGTGAAAATCCTGGTAGAGCCGGGGAGGGGCACAAGAGGCTCGTTAGAGCATTCTAGCCGAGTACAGGTTTGACAGTGTCCATGAGTTTAAAAACAAATATTCTCACTGTAGCAAATGTAAGCATATACAGTGGTCCTCACCTAGGACACCATGCCCATTTTGGTGTGTGATCTGGGAGCAGGGGATGTGCTGGCCTTGGGTGCCACTCTACTTGGGCATGGTTACTGTCAGCAGCTGTCAACAGGGATGGTGACGTTAGGTCCAATTTAAGATGTGCCAGGGTGGGGGCAGGCAGCACACACAGCAACACCTCACTCACCTGGATGTTTTGTCTCTGCACAGGTCGCACAGGGCAGGCGGTCGCTGTTCGAGCCAAGGCCTTTGGATTCAGCGTCATATTTTATGACCCCTACTTGCAGGATGGCATAGAGCGATCCCTGGGCGTGCAGAGGGTCTACACCCTACAGGATTTGCTGTATCAGAGTGACTGTGTCTCCTTGCACTGCAATCTCAATGAACATAACCACCACCTCATCAATGACTTTACTATAAAGCAGGTAATTTGAAAATAGTTGTCCTCCAACTGTAAATAGTGATGCCAAACCTTTCAGAGAGCAAGTACACAAACTAAAAGCCATTTATGACTCAAGCACCTGCTTAAGCAGGCACAGGGATCAGGGTTCGATGCCTCCCTCCCCCCTACTTGCTATGCTGGTCCCACCCTCTGGGAGGGTACACTGAGATTGTGACTGAGACTGGGCATGGTGGCACACCTGTAATCCCTGACAGCACCTATCCACCTGACAGCTTGCAAGGCTGAAAAACAGGAGGATCACTACGAGTCCGATCTGTGTAGTGAGACCCTGTAGACCCAAACAGCTGTGGTGGCCCAAGCAGCATGCAAATAGCTCATGGACACAGTGGTGAGCAGCAAAGGTTCCCTTGGAAGTATCAGTTAATGAGGGAAGGCACAGGCCACAACAGGAGCCAGCCCAGGACCTAGCTGGCTCCCATTAGGGACCCAGTGTTGCTTCAGAAAGGCACTCTTGAGCCTCCAAGAGCAAAACACCAGAGACCAGCTATAGGACCACCTTTGCCACCTCCCCTTCCAGATACCAAGACTGTTTTCTTCTAAGAAACATACCAGACCAAGAGAACACCTAGTTTACAGCATTCCCCTCTAAAGCCGTGGTTCCAGTCTCCTGCAGCAGCATGATGTAACCAGCTTCTCTTTCCTTTCACAGATGAGGCAAGGAGCATTTCTAGTGAATGCTGCCCGAGGTGGCCTGGTGGATGAAAAAGCCTTAGCCCAGGCCCTTAAAGAAGGCAGGATACGAGGGGCTGCCCTTGATGTGCATGAATCTGAGCCCTTTAGGTGGGTGTAGCCCAAGTCTAAACCATCCTTTGAATTTGTAGCATTTTCCCAGACAGATCCCTGGGTAATGATAACTAGTCTCCTCTAAGGACTGAAATATTCTCTTTAATTATACAAGAGGGATAAAAAGAATCAGGTGCCCAAAGATTAACAGAAAAAGAAAAGACAAAAATGTGGCGATTCTAATCTGTAGACAGACTTTTCCCGTCCGACTTGTTTTAGTGTTGTATGATTGTGTTCTAAAACCCCCAACCCTTGTAAAACATGACACAGAACTCTAACCAAGAGTTCTTTTTTAGTAGTGCACCAACTGTGTGCCCGTTTACTGAGTTTGTTTCCATTTCCCTAGCTTTGCTCAGGGTCCATTGAAAGACGCACCAAATCTCATCTGTACTCCCCACACAGCCTGGTACAGTGAACAAGCCTCCCTCGAAATGAGAGAGGCAGCAGCCACAGAGATCCGCCGAGCGATCACAGGTGAGTCCCCTTGACCTCTAACCAGGCAGCTGTACAAGTCTCAGGTTAAACTTTGTGTGAGCTGGGCTCTGTGTATATAATTCTGAACTAAATTTGACTAAGGAAGCCAATTCCCTTTATTCCCAGCCAATGTATGTTTTACAGGCTACAAAGCATGAACCTAGAGGTAGCAGGGAGGTTCATTTCTGTTCTAGCTCATTTCCCTTCACCAAGTATAATACTGAACTTGCTGTGATCTTAAAAATGTACATGTGACTTAACTTTTACCCTAGGTCGCATCCCAGAAAGCTTAAGAAACTGTGTTAACAAGGAATTCTTCGTCACATCAGCTCCTTGGTCAGTAATAGACCAGCAAGCAATTCATCCTGAGCTCAATGGTGCCACATACAGGTATGGAGAGGAAATGACTTTTCTCACCAGCTAGCATTCATGGGCACAAAAGCCCAAGCCCAACCCTGGGGGAAATGGATCTAACCTGGGCACCGAAGGAAAAGCAGCCTTCTTGGTGGGAACTGTGTAATGATCTTCCCTCACATTTTTCAAGAGTTTTCTTCAGTCCATTAAGACCCAGCTTTGGTGGAGGTCGTGGGCAGACAGCACCACCAAGTCTAAATCGGGGTGGAGTTCAGTCCTTGCGGGCTTCACGAGATCAATTTCTGACCACTGTGCTATGAATGGCGTAACTCACGCAGTAATGCAGCTTCACATACAGCTTGGGAAGCACATAACCATTGAAGACACTCGCTTCAGAAATGTCCCTGATGGCGGCCACCTCCACTATGTTCTGGATGTCAAACTTCTAAATGGCCTTATCCTTGGGTACGCAAGGGGCATTCGTGCAGCAAATAGGCTGCAACTGCGGCCCTTTTTGGCACGACTGTTGAGCCTTCTTTTTTTTTTTTTTCATTATCTTGGAAAGGAGGGCATGAAAGAGCCCCAATTCTCTTTTGAACAAAACCTTAGGCAAACAGCTTAGAAATGATTTATGAAATACAGCAAGAATTTCTTAAGAGGGTTGGGATCAGGGGATACTGCTCTGTGATGGCAGATTTCAGTAGTCTACAGGGTAATTACCCAGACTGGACTGTCATTTGGAGGCCTTTATAAGGTCAGGCTTTCTTATACAAAAGGTAAAGATGAGAATGGTAATTTTATTGGTAATTTTGCTTTCTAATTTGAATCTTTTGTCCAAATACCCTGACAAAAGAATTTTAGAATTAAAGAAGAGATGCAATATGGCAGGAGTGTGGGCAGCTTGGGTAAAAGTGTGAGTATGGTGGGACTGTTTCCCAACAGGGTTGGGAGAGATAGTAGATTCATTTGTGGAAGTTTCCAAAGCTCTTTCCCACTGTCCCTTATAGTTGGATTCCAGAAAATTAGATCTTTCATGTATAAAGGAGAAGAGATCAGGGGCCGGAAGATGGCTCAGTAGAATAAGCGCTTGCCTGGCAAGTGCACAGGCCTGAGTTCAATCCCCAGTTCTAAAAAACAAAATTACCTGGCTGCATCAGGTGGTTTCCCCTTTGGGGACTGGGGAGATGGCTCAGTAGAATAAGTGCTTCCCTGGCAAGAGCAGGGGCCTCAGTTCAATCCTCAGTTCCTCAAAAAATAAAATAAAATAAAATAAAATAAAATAAAATGGATATGGCCTTGAGTCCCAAGAGAAGTGTTTGGCTTATCCCAAATTGAGGGGTTCCATCCCTGGTGGTACGCACATTTGGAGTCATTTATTCTCTAGAAACCTGTCCAGTGCACTGTGGGATGTTAACAGTATCCCTGCCCTCTACCTGCTAGATGCCAGTCTCTGTTGTGACAATTGAAAGTGCTACTAGACACTGCGGATATGTCCACTAGGAACCTAGACCCGAAAGGGCATAGTGTAAATACCGAAGGCTGAATGGGCTATGTTATTGGTTCTAGATCATGTGGCAGTTTCATTCTTTTACTTTTCATTGTCTTACATTTTGCTCACCTTTTAAGGTCTCTGCTGCATTTGATCAGTTAGTCCAGTGGTGCCGAACCTATGGCACATATGTTACTGTTTAAGAAAAAGGAGGTTAATGGGGATTTTTCTTTTTTCATGAACTGAAAATCTCAATATTGAGGTTTAATTGTAGAGATACCATCCAAGAAGCACAGATCCTCTGGAGTATAACATGGGCTCTGAGAGGTCACAGTGCAGGGGCCTCAGTTCAATCCTCAGTTCCAAGAGGATTGAAAGAGCCAACCTGTGGACGTCCTTCAAGATTTCTGACCAGTAGTTAAACAGGTCAGGTAGGCCAGAATCTAGGGATCCCAGGGAAGGGTGGTCTCAACAGAAACATTGAATATTCTACATAAAATATTCTACATTGGATACAACACATCCAGGCCTCCTCCTTCCTCCCCACAGTGTAGAGGAAGCTCACAGCCAGCTTACCAGGTCCCCTTTCCTGTCCAAGCTGCAGTAGACCACCACACCAATCATCCCAGGAATTCTGCTTTGTGAATTAGGGTAGCAAAGGCTCATCCACCACAGATGCCTCACATTTTTTGAGGTTGTAATTCAGTACAAGGGGCCAGCAAGCATGATTGGATTCTGCTCAGAGGTTTTTCTGGTGAGGGTTACCAGACTAACAACTTAAAGGCTGCTATCATAACAGCATGTCCCACAGGGGAGTAGCTGTTTTCTGTGTGGATAAGGGTATTTACCTGCCAAGTGATTAGAATCTGAATATATTCCTTAGTAGCACATTTGGCTTCCTGAGACTTGCTCCTAAAAGATTTCTCCAACCTTACGGCAGCCCATTTTCTAAAAAAGGTTCTTACAAAATATAGTATCCAGTTTCTTAACTAACCGCTACAGAACTACTGTCCCAGTTACTATCTTTAGTGTTTTCATATTGGGGAGACTCCATTTCTTTGGGGTAAGAACAACAAACTGTATATTATTAAATCTCATAATAATGAAAAAGACCAGACCAGATATTGTCCTGGACTTTAAAGGCACTTTTTC